GAATATTGGATAAAATTTCGTATGAAGTTGATAGCAGTGATATCCCCCAATAATTACTATAGTCAGTTTTATAACCCTTCTTGAGAACTGATACAATAATAAACTCTTTCCACTGACCAGACAAGTTCTCCTTATTCAAAGTATAATTAATTAGTTTACGGATCTAACCAACTGTAATGTTTCACTTCCTGCTTGAATCAGTCCTGCCAGAATTTGATCACCACCTAGCGATTTATACCTTTTCAACTTTGCAATAGCAATTGCAACATCAAAAGGATTAGGATCATGTAATAACAGCTTAGCTGTATGTACTTCTATCTGCCGAATGTCCACATCACACTATATAATCTGAGATACTGACAGCATTTATAAACAAATCATAAACAAATAAATTAATTAATTAATAATGCAAGAATAACAGTACCAGTATTTCAAAGCAACAGTTACCTACAGCTGTTACCTATACTTAGTGAATGTGGAATAGAAATATCCTAGTTACTGACTGGTATTTGGCTGACATCTGTTACAGACAAAAAAAAAGAAAGATAACACTGACCAAGGTTCCTCATCTTAGCATTTGTACTATCACAGTTACAACATTCACCTTAAATTTATTCAATATGTGCACAAAACACAAATTTCTGAATCATATGTAGAAAATAACCTGAGGACCACAAAGCCAGAGAAAGAGGAGGAGAGGGGGAGGAATAGAAGGAGGAAAAAGAAGTTTCCAAGCCAGCAAGGTCAATTTAAATACAGAGTGTCCCAGAGTTTGGTGCCATACTTCAGAAGTGTCCTGAGGGTTCCCTATAGAATAACTCTGAAATAGGAACCCATGTCCGCAAACATAAAATAGCAGTGCTAGGGCGGCATGTAAAATCATTTTGTTTAAACTTGGCGCCTCAATGTCGAACAGCATGCACAGGCATATTACCTCATCCAAACTGTGCTCACTCCGGCTGATGGTTTTCCTAAGCTAACTAGTGTTGTTTTGGTAAATGAAAGGAAAGTGTGTCTGCTAGACTGTTCTTTGTTTACATTCACTCACTTCTGCAATGGCGAGAGACCACATGATCACAGAGCTCAGAGACATGCCTTATCTCTATGGTGTGGTGAAAGGAAATGCACAAAAAGCACAGAGACTGTACAGGGAAAGATTTTCCAACAGAAGACATTCCTCTTGCAAAATCTTTGTGAGCATTCACCAGTGACTAGGTGAAATTGGGTCTCTGCATCCACAAAATCATGCGGGATACTCAAGATATGCTCAAACCGTTGATGCAGAAGAGGCAGTACTATATTGCATAGAGGAACAGCCATCCACCAGCACTCGTGCCATTGCCAAGATTGTGGGGACATCAAAATCAAGTGTTTTGGGGATTCTGCATGACCAACAACGATATCTGTATCATCCAACATGAGTACATGATGTAGGTCCAGCTGACTTTGTACGAGTTCAATTTTGTCGGTGGATACTGAACCAGCGTTTACATCAGTCCAACTTCCTGAATCACGTGTTATTCACAGATGAAGCACAGTTTACAAGGGATGGCTGGTTCAATAGTTGAAACAGCCACATTTTGGGCTGACGAAAACCCCAACGTTACTGTAGTTGGCGCAATTTTCTGTCAATGTCTGGGTGGGCATCATTGGCGATCACTTGACTGGGCCTTTCCTCCTACCACCACGACCCAATGGGCCCTTTTACAAGGTATTCCTGGAACGTATCCTTCTGACTCAGCTAGAAGACGTGTCACTGATTGTGCGGACGCAAATGTGGATACCACATGACGGAGCACCGGCACACTTCAGCATTGTATTATGAGACTACCTGGATGCTGCTTTTCATGGTCGTTGGATAGGAAGAGGAGGCCCAGTGCCTTGGCCACCCCGATCCCCAGACTTGACACCTCTGGACTATTTCGTCTGGGGCCATGTGAAAAGCCTGATCTACGACATGTCTGCAGATAATAAATTCGAGCTGTTGGTCAGAATACTTGTTGCACGTGACATGATCCGTGAGACACCTGGAATATTTCAAAGGGTGCGCCAAAAGTTTCTTTCGTCAGTGTAAAGCATGCATTGAAAATGGAGGGCGCCAATTCCAACATCTACTCTAGCAGGTGAGTCTTAAAGAGTTTGGAGGGAGTAATATGCCTGTGCACACTCTTCGACATTGAGGCGCCAAGTTTAAACAACATGATATTAAATGCCACCCTAGCGCTGCTATTTTACATCTGTGGAAATTGATTTCTATTTCAAAGTTGTTCTATAGGGAACCCTCAGTACACTCCTGAAGTATGGCACCAAACACCTGGGACACCCTGTATATGCAGTACAAGACTATAATATTCTACTCGAGTATTTCCCAAATGTAACAATATAAGCCTCATGATAACAATGGGAAGACAATGCATAAATTGTCACTGTTGATTAAACTGACCATTCAAATTTTGCATGGTTTGTTTAATGGCACCGGCAATAGCTCTAATTACACAGTGCCAAATGATAGGATGATTAGTAAATAATGAAATTTCAAGAATATGGAAGGAATCAGATGTGGCCCAAGATGAGGTGTTATTCTGGCAACTGCTTTAAGAGAATGATAAAACCACAAAATACCTCACTCAGGACAGCCAGTCTCTGGGCCAAGATTTAAATCTGAGACCTCGTGAACATAAATCATGAGTGCTACTCATCATAATGTTCTGTACTTGGCAAGATGTTCTCATTATATGCAATAACTGTTAAGAATTTGAAGCTAAATAGCAAACACAAACTGTCGCTTATCTATATATATATTTCAAGTTCAAGAATATTTCAGCCTCCATGTAATCAAAATCATGGTGTGTAAAATATTTTCCTTGCATATTTATAAAGTCTAATAAAGATTACTGGATGCCACAGAAGAGTAGTCCTGCTTTATAGGTGGGTTGCCTCATCTTAGAAGGGGCCTGGCGATCTCTGCTTTTTGTATTTTCCTCATTTCCTCTGAGGAAATGGTGTGGTACCTTAAAATGCACCATGACTGTTTCCTTCCATAACCCCTCCAGATCACTTATATTTCTACCATTTAACACTACATAACCTATGTAGCTGAAAATGATTCATTAAATAACCTACAAATTAATCATGACACTTTTGCATTATCCTGAAGAACTAAATAAATAGAATGTTTTGAATAAATAATGCTGAACTCCATGAATTATGTCATAAAATAAATTAAAAAATGATTTGACCAAAATTAAGATTAAAATAAGTAATATCTATATGTATAATATAAACTCCGTCATAAATGCAACACTTTATTGTAGTTCTTGTCCCCTTTCTTTCACACTACATGTTTCGGCCGCAACCAGCCATCATCAGGTGTATTTCACTTCACGTAGCTGTCACACTGCACTCAATATTAACATTTAAACTCCAGATTTCCAACTGTTCATTGCTCTGTCATCAATCGGCACCCAATATTCCAGAACTCCCCTTGTCAATTTTGTCAATTATGTTTAAAATCTTTATTAATATTCACTTGTTGATTGGTTTAAAATTTTAAATT